ATTCATGACCTAAAGATCTTGTTTATATACAACTTCATATGTGCCTTGAACCATAAATGTAAATCTAAATATATGCCTATATACAAGGAATAGGAAATATTACATATTTCCTAATACTATGAGACAACTCTTTAATTATCTTTTAAAAGTGAGTTTCCTTCTCGTTCACGTATCTTCATACAAATATTTAGCCCCAAGTATACTAATGGATTTTGAAAGCCTTGACGACCTAAGAAAAAAAAGCATTCAGACAGTATAACCAACATAATTCGTCTTCTTTATACCAATACAGAGAACGACTAAAACGATTAAAAAACAAATAATGTTGACAAAAATACCATTTGATGTGAAACCCTTTAATCCAATGGTTAATCAAGAGTTTAATGTTTTACACCAAAACAAGAGAAATGATATTGATGTTATAGTTTGATCAGTAATAGAGAAGTTGGGTATTACTACAATATTAATCTTCTCATTTGTGTCACTTAAGTCATAGTACGTACACTGAAATGATAATCACCGAACGGATAGATTAACTTGTTTCAAATTGTCGAAATGGTTAGATGGCACACTTTCACCATAAATCATGTTCTTTCCACTATATTTCCAATTCATACGAAAGGAAACAAATCACAAGCCAAAAAACAATTTGAAGCTTGATTTCCCCGATCATAATAATAGTAATAAATTAATCATGTTTGAAACCTTTATTTACATGTCAAACACAAGACAAAACTTATCAATAACTTAAGATCTAAAGAAATTAATCAAATCTAACTTAACTAGATGTTAATGAATCATGGCTGAAACTGTTGTAGCTGAATTATGATTAGACTAATATCATCCAAGCACCCTCTCTTACACGATAGCTCGGCTAGTTTCTAGCTTGCAAGCAGAAAGTGTCTTTGGATTCTCTACGCCTAATAAGTGTTGGGGTCGGATTTCACTCGTTCAACGTTGAAGTTCAAAGTTATGCAAACGCAGCGAATAGACACGAAATCGCATTAACGCACAGATGTTATATGATTCTCCCAAGTCATTTCCTAACTAGAAGATGAATTTTTTCTCCTTTCCTAAGTCTTCTCCGTCCAAGAAAGGAGTTTTCTGAGTCCACTCTACTCGCAGCAGAAGTCAGGAGTGCAGAACCGGCGCCGTGCTAGCAAGGTCACACTGCCAGCGATGACACACTGCCAGCAAGGTCACACTGCCAGCGATGTCACACTGC